AAGCAACAAGGGTGCAAAATGCCCCCCCCCCCTCTGTCACCGAACTGCTCCCATACAAGTTCCTAAGAAAGAAAGTAATGTGCGAATAGCAACCACAGGGCAGAAAGGGCAGAAATGGTTGGGCCGCAGCAGGCGCCGTGCATAAGATTCTCACTCTCAAAATTCAATGGGAATTTATTGGATGCAGTGAGCACCGACTTACAGTGTCCAATCAACGCTAGAAATCCTAAAACACTTTTTTATCAGATGCATTCCATATCCTGAAGGTGGACAGGGCGTGGCTACACACTTCAGTAAAAAATGGCATGGGGTGCGTTTCCGTAAGGTTCTGCTGTTCGAGACGACTGTCATTCTATTTTGCGATGGACAAAAATATGATTACAGTTGTTTAAAAACGAAACGTCTAAACGAGAAACTAAATCGTTCGCATAAAGTACGGTGCCACGCTCTCTCCATCTGTGGGATATGGATAGGTGCCGTCGCATCGGTTTACCCAAGTATTGTCAACATTGCCTGCATCCCTTTATTACCCTCGGTAGAGCCGGTTATTTTCGGTGATAAGAGACCATAAAGATCAAAATCAACCAACTAGATTTCATTCATCTCACATGTTCCATTGAGAATGGCGAGATATCAATAGTGAAACAAAGCGCACAAGGAAGCGAGAGGATCACTGAAGGAATCAGAGAGGGAAACGCGTCAATATCAGTTTAAATTTTTCACTGAAATTGATGAATAACACCCATAAGAGACGATGATTTTTACCATTACAAACACACACACGCACGGCTATTTCTGGACTAAATGAGACGAAGATCAAAATTTTTGATGGAATGGGATGGGATATTTCGATGAAGCGCTGTGAGTGTTGTGGTGGTAGGTGGTAGAAGTGGCGGTGTTGATGTTGTCATATGAAATGCTCATCGTCGACCAGCCGAGCTCAATTTGTTCAGGTTCATCCCGAGCAGTCCGTTGATCAGTTCTGCATTCGATCTAAAGGGAGCAGCTATTCGGAAGGGGAACCTCTCTTAAGAGCGAATATGAGCACTTACCGCTTGCCGACTGCTGACAGTTTACCAAGGTCCATTCCAATGAGGCCATTTATCAACTCCGCATTACTCCTCTTTACGAACTGCACATCATCATACATCTGAAATGGAGAGCCGTTGAATGCTTTAATGTCGTCGCTCCCGAAAGGCCACTCTGTTCCTACTAGTTCTCTCAAAAATGCTCAGAGATGACGTAGGAAGTGGCAACTTCTCCATTTCTGTCAGTAGTAAAAAAAAGAAGCAATTTCCGCCGCAGACTTTTTTGTGAGATAAATATCCAAAATGCTCTTCATCCCTACGGAAAAATCGGAAGCAATTGTGAACAGACAGAAATTTTTTCTGATGCTGAAATTTGCACAGGAAACTATTGAATACTGTAAAGTGTCTAGTTTTAAAGA